TCATCCTCCAACTCTCCCTCCTCTTCCTCCTCCTCTGCATTTGTCAGCTGCTGGCCTCCTAACACTGCATTAAACCACCCACATCCTCTCACCGTTCTCCGTAAGAGGAGCAGCGCTGCTACCACCCACTCTCCTCTCTGAAATATCTGGTACAAAATGTGTGAGATGCGTCGTGTCGGGATATTTTTCTTTTCAAATATCTCGCCTTTAACCTGCTTTTGCCGTTAGCCTTCACTGCGGTGCTGTAGCATTCATCTGAACGTCTTGAATGCATACCAGTGGAGTGAGGTGTATCTAAAAATGCCTGAAGTACAGTACTTGGCCCTGCAACAGAGATGTCAGATACCCACCATATGGTTTAGTCTGATTTCTTTATGTTTGTCTTAAGTACAGACAGGGGTTAGGGTTGGCATTATAACGGAGGCTAAGGTAAATACCACGTGTGATTGTGCTGGCTTAACGTCTCAATATTGGGATCAAATGATAGGACTGTAAGGACTCTGGAGCAGTGATGATTGTAATCTCGTCCCTGACCAATCTAGTTCCTGGCCTGATTGCAATGTATATCTGTATGATATCGTGGAAGGAAAAGAGAGACGGTGGTTTGATTCTTCTACATAGCAAGTCCCGAGGTGACTCCATCCGTCTGGCACCTGAGGATATTTCCCCCGCAGCTGGTTGTTGGCATGCTCATTGGTATCACAATTTGTGTTTACCTCTGTTGTCTTAAGTTGCTAAGGAAAGATTGATTGCATAATGGCTGTTATCGGTAATGAGCAGAGGATGTTGGACCCTGAAGAGACCTGATTCCAGGCCATGTTGGTGAGTCAGGTCGAGACGCTGCCAGTTCATCAGCTTTCCTTTTGGCTTCCATGTCTTCAATGATCAAAGTTAAAGAGCTTTGGATGCAGGGTGACACACTCAAAGATCCTGCTGTTACACGTTTAATACAGAGTAATGTAACTTAACGAGAGAAGTTTCAGCTTTTGAATTTGTCACCGCACATGTTGGCAGACAAACAGGCACCTAATACCAAAAAACAGATGTTGCTAATCAACTTACAGGTGTTCATAACACACTTTGACATTGAGCAATCATGTAGGTGTGTTCATACTGATAGAAAGTGAATGAATAATGGGGAGAATGTCTTTCTTTTGCAAGATGTTGCAATATCATTCCCTCACGATCCTCTTAACTGAGTCATTTTATCTGAACTCTGGATTTCCATGACTAGAAAGGAGTCCGTCAAACCCAAAAATGTTGATGGCAGAGGAAGAGAATTTGCTTCTCAACCAAAATTGAGAGTCAACGATCTGCCGGCTGCCAAAAGAAGCAAATATTTCTCTCGCTGTGTCATGAGGGAGAATGGGATGTTTTGCTTAGCTGCAGAATCGCCAAGAGTGAAGGAAGCCAACGGCGCAAAGGCATGCTAATTACCATTTTCCAAACAGAGAGTTGGTTCCTAATGAACACTGTTGTAATGACACACACCATCTGGCCCAAGATCACAAGACCTACAGTATGAATACTATATGGTAAGGAGAGGAGAAAAGGGCCTAAACCGAGCAGTTATATTCCCCAGTGGGAAAACTAGGAAAAGTGTCTCGTTTACTGGAATTGCATGGCAAAAGACATTTCATTGTTTTACTTTAGGCAGTAGTAAATCCCATGAAGCTGTGTTGTAGCTTTAAAATTGTTTTTTTTGTTTTGTTTTGGCACTCTAGTGTTGGCTTTGATTCTCAGAACTGTTGGTTCTTATAGGAATCTTAATAGTTTATGAATTATGTGTTTTAATTTAAGTCATTTTCATGCACTTGAAAACATTTCTATTTGATGTTTGCTATTAAATCCAACAAAAATATTTACACATTTCAAATTTAAATTCTACAACCTTTCAATACACTTCTGCCTTAGTTAGATTGTTTTTGTATCTGGCACCTCTAAAACATCTTTGGATTGTGAGTTCCCTGTTCATGTTTTTGAAACGCAATAGTCAGGTAAATATATTGTATGACGGCTTACATTACACAAATGTCCTCTGCCTTTTAGTTAGTGTTTCACAGATGTATATCCCATACATATTGGTGCTGATCCAAGACGTCCACCTGCCTCTCCATCTATCACACACTGACCTAGAGAAACCCAATCTCTTTCTGATTTGTCCCCGTCTCCCCTTGAGACTCCGCTCCATGTCTCCCATCCAGACAGTATTCATATTATTGTCTGAACAACTTGAGAGACTAGAATACGTTTATGCTCGTTTCATAATTTCCATGCTCCGATCAACAAAAGGACACTTGTTTGGGCCCCTTGTCTCTCAGTCATTTCCTTGTTGAGGGTTAAGGGGCGGAGTGGCTCTGTGGACTGTGGCGGCTGACAATCCCACATTGTGTGAACTGCTGCTGCTTCACAAAGGGCCCATTGTGGAGAGCGGTGGCCCGGGAAGAGGGGACCGGGTCTAGGCTAGGTGACAGAGAGGTGTGGGTTCAGGGGGCCTGGGTCTGGGGGCCAGGTCCAAGGTAGAGGCGTCTATTGGTGCTTATCCCCGGAAAGTGCTGAGGCAGGGAGGGTGCACACGTGTGCTGCTTCTGTACATTTACTGTACTCCCACCCGTCCACCTACGTTGTGTAAGCACTCCAATCTCTCTCAGAGGTGAAGCCCTTTTATGAAAATAGGTTTTTCAATCAGAGCTGTTGTCAGTCTCAGATTTATCATCTGCAGAGAATCCGATGTGATTATAAAACTGGGGGGGGGGGGGGGGCTTAAGCTGCTTGTACAACTGTTCCCAGAATTTGAAATATTTTGCTGTTTATCCTCCTCTGACTCGAGCTCGAGGACATGTGTGGAGATTTGTTTACTCAGACAGATGGCCTTGCGGTCCAAAGTCAGAGTCCACAAAATCCCTTTTTTCTGCTGCACTGCTGTGCCTCTTGACCACCAGTTTGAGACTTAATCTCCCTTTTTTTTCTCCCCCTCTGTCCCCAAAAGTCCTTCCTCTCTCCATGTCTGAGTGTGACAGGGTCTCAGGTCAAGCTGACAACCGTCTCTCTGGTCAGTCTGAAGCAGGCGTGGGCCCTCTTCCAGCTGTCCTGTCCCACGGTCTATTTGTCCGACTGTCTTTCTGTCTGTCAAGCCCGGCTGTTGCCCTGGCCTCTCACCTTAATGTCAAGAGCCCTTCATTTTTAAAGCATAAGAAGTTGAACCAAATGATGTAGACTTACTGCCTCTGTGGCACATTTGTTTTTACTCTAGAACACAAAGAATGTAAAGGTTATGTTGTTTCATGTTTCCTCCGATTTGACACTTAGTTTAACCAACCTGTCACTGTTTTTGCTTAAAATATGCTTTGCCAAACTTGTACTTTGCTTTGCCCTGCTACAATTTAGGCTGTGGTAAAAGAGTAAAGAATGAAAGTGACATTTAACAGTAACAAAGTCAACAAGGTCTCTCATCTGCCCTCAGGGTTGGATTACCACTAACTGTTAACTATTGACTCCTCTGTCCACATTAGAGCCTTCCAGTGCTGGCAGGCTATGGTTATGCTGCACAAATTGTGTCCTTGCCTTAGATTTATCTGGTCACTAGCAAACCTGAACGTGATACCTTTTTGATTTAGTTTCCAGCTCTGTCCCCTAATATATTCCGATCTTGCAGCAGACTGTCATTTATCATCTGTGGCTACCTGGTACTTAAAGCTTGGAACCACCGTGGTATTTTGGTGTCTATAATTCTGCCTGTATGTTTAGTGAAGTGAAGGTAGGGCCCTGAAGCTGTTCAAATAGCCACACATGCCCATTGTGCTTAGTTATGCAGTACTCGCTTACTTCATTGAGCAAATATAAATCCCTTGGTCAACATAAGATTATCATGGCTTCTCCCATTGCTAGTGTAAGTCATTTGGAGGTCAGACAAAGCAAAAGTCAGTTTTCTGAAAAAGCAATATTTGTGTGCAAATACTTTCCTTCTGCAAATTGCTAGTGTCTTTCAAAGTATTCATCTGCACAAGTATTTTACACTTAGAAAAGTAGAAATGTATTTATTTTATTTGCCAAAATGCCTGATTAGCACAAAAGGTTCACTTGCTGTGCAATAGACTATAAATAGATTATCTTATCTATTCAAAGTTAAGCTAGCATGTCTCCATTCATTGTAAATGAGCCGTGCTTACAAACAAAGCCACTGTGTGCTTATATAAACTTGCATGTGAAAACCTTTTTCAAACAAAGTAGTATTATTGTGGATGTCCTGTGGTCATGTTATTTATGGCGGTCGAATGGTAATCCATGTACATAGTCGGGTTTACACCTCACAGCTACGCAACAGACAGATTAATCTCAAAACCTCTCGGTGAACCTGCACGGTTTTAAAAATGGAACAGACAGTCCTGTTCACAGGTCCTTTCAGGCTCTTTAAAGCGCCGCAATATACAACAGAGCTGTGAAGATTTGGGCATTAGCAACACTGTAAGGTCTATTTAATGTTCTAAATATTGTAAATTAGTGTGATTTAATGCTCTTTTTGTATGCAGCTTATTCTAAAAACAACCATTATTTAAAAGCTACTACAAGTGCATGACTGTTATGCACTTATCCTAGATTGTGTAGTGACTATTACACAACTACTATAATGCAATGCCAAGTCCATCAGAGTTGTAAACGACAACCTATTTCCCCCGTCTAAAATCAGCCTATTTGTTACTTTCTTTTACAAAAGGAGATTGTAAAGTAAAGTGCTGCATATGCGATGCCATTATGTAATTGGTGTCCTTTTTAAAGTGCTGAAATACACAACGCAAGAAACAGAAATATCACAACGAGCGCAAACAGGAACATTCGATGTGCACAGACTGTGATTATATCAGCTCGTGGTGTGCCAATCTTGGCAGGAAAATTGATGCTGGGGTGGGTTGTGTGAATAGACCATGTGGAGGGATACGTGGGCACGTCTGTTCACTTCCCCACTTAACACTTTCTCTGTGTGTCCCTCTTGTGTAATGCAGCCCAGCACCCTGCCACAAGGGACGATCAATATGAACCAGTGCTCTGACGTCATCGACGGAGAGTCCAGGACGGGGCAGAAGAACTCACTGTGCATCCTGACCCCGGAGAAAGAGCACTTTATACGTGCTGAGTGCAAAGAAATTATCAACGGGTAAGACATAATAACCAGGACTTGGATCGGTTAAAGAGGGCATATTCTGCTCATTTTCAGGCTCATCTTTGTATTTTGTTTCACTACTTTGACTGTGACTTTAATCTTCAAAAAGGTCTTCTCATACTGCCTGTCCTGCAGCACCTCTTTTCACCCTCTGTCTGAACTTTGGGATTTTAGCCTTTGCGAACCATTTACATGCACACAAACCTAAATAACACACTACAGGAAAGGGAAAACCCCCAAAAGCATAATATGGCCTCCCATTACTAAGTACATTTACTCAAGTACTGGAATGAATTACTATTTTGTCAAACTTTGTATTTAATGTACTGCTACTTTACACTTCCACATCAAATATCCCACTTCTTACTCCACTACATTTATTAACACTAATAGTTACTAGTTACATTGTACATGCTATGCTGATATGATGCAGTACTGTACTACTAAAGCACACAGTATACACAAAATCATATGTACATTACATTACTGTTGTTTGTATTATCATTACATGTTGATATTGTTCATGATATCCTTCATTTATGGTTATCTTCTTTCATTGCCTGATTTGACATTACATAATATTGTTAACATGGTTTTTTAACGTGTTGCTGTTGCACCACCTTGTACAGTTTGCTCTGGAAATACTGTGTTTTGATTGGGTAATGCCATAATATAATATAATATTCTAGAATAATGTACTACTGTGGAAAGATCCTTTCTGCATCACATGACTTTTAGTTCTGGTACTTAAAAGTACATTTAGCTTGCTTACTTCTGTAATTTTACTTAAGTAACATTTGGGCCTTTTACCTGTATTGGAGTGTTTTTAGACTGTATTATTTATACTTGTACCTGTGTTAAGGAACAAATTGATAATCAGCTGTATTTTCCTATAAGGCATTATAACTGCCTCAGCACAGTTTTTGTTGCTCTGTATTTTGTTTTAGTGGTCAGGGATGACAGAGACTTGGGAAAGGGAGAGTATTTGTGCGCAGCTGCCTTTGCTGCCAAACTGCTCTGCCCCCTGCTGTCTCTGTTGCACTGTGCGTTTCAGAGCCTAGTAATCCACACTGCAGTGACAGTGCACATTCTTGAACTGTTCCCTCTCCCTGTGTCCACAAACCTCCCCCCCCCCCCCCCCAATATGCCTGGACTCAGAGCCCAACACACGAGCTTCGGTTTATTCGGTTTGCTATCTTCTGCTTTTCCTGTGTGTTTCTGCACTGTACGCTCCCTCCCTGGATGTAGCGTACATTATATGGCTATTCTGAGGGAACTGTGACTCACAACACCTACTCTCCGTTATGCTACCTGCTCCATCTCTGCACACCTCCCACCCGCTATCCTCTGGCTCCCATGTGTTCGTTCCGAGCTATCACACAATCATATTAACCTTTGCCAAGGCTGCTGTTCACTGATAGTGATGTAACAAACTGGCTTTAAAGAATGTATTGTTTTCAATCTCCTTACATTTGATTGATTACATTACAGTATAAAAACAAGGCTGCATTGTTACTCATACAGAGTCACATGTTTGTATTCACAGTGTGACACACTTTACAAAGTGGGTGCAGCCGAAGATATTTGATAATGCATGATTGTTGCGTACCAAAGTACTTAACATGATTATTCTAATCATTAAAAAGCCAGGGTTTTCTGTATTGCAGATAAGGAACATTTCGTTTTTTTTGTTATATTTTATCCTTCATTCTTTGTTTTGTTAAATTGAGTATGCTAAACCTTCAGCAGACTGCTCCCGGGTTATTTATTCAAATGATTTTTACTGAGGATACGCATTGATTACCTTGTGTGGAAGGGGGATTGAGCATCTCTGAGTGTGGGAGTATTATTTGTGCAGTAAATAATGTATTTATGCTTTAAAAGACAATGCTTGACTAAATCCACCCCAGCTAATAAGATAATAGTTTCCTTATGAATTGCCATTTCAGTAAAGAGCACACAAACGGTGCCAAAAAACAGACATAAATTATAAAGGCAAGTCAGATGTAGAGTAACCAAGCTTTAAGATGCTTTGTGTTGCCACCTAGAGGATTAAAAGTGACTACATGTTTTATTTCCTGCATTTAGCTCAGTGTTTATTTAAGAAGTAGAAGTGTAGTTTTATATTTTCCTATTTCAGTATTAGCTTGTACAAATGCTTTTATAATGGTTTCATTTTCCTGCAGAGAACTTTTCCGTGTCATATTTTGATCGAGTACAGGTGCAGGGTGTGTATAGTCTGCATTCATTGTCACAGGAACAATACTTGACTGTTTCACTATTCGTAGGTGGCAGGAGGCTCTGACTGTTTACCCCCGGACCAACAAGCAGAACCAGAAGAAGAAACGCAAAGTGGATCCACCCTGTCACCAGGTAATGCACCTACTTACACACTCCAGGGCAAAGTGACGTATCTTGCTCACACTGAGGTAGCGTCACTGAAAAACTAGGTCTAAGGGTTTGAGCCAAAAGTACAAGTATTTCTAAATAAAAGACAACATTTGGGCTCCCAGTATTTTCTTGTTCACACTTTAAAGGTGGCTACCCCCATACATCAGCACTGAGCTAAAGTGAGCATTATAAATCATCCACATAGAGTGATTGTGCCATTGCTACAGCTGAGAAAGAACATCTTTAAGGACAACATGTGCCTGGGAAATATGCAGCATGGAGGCTCCTCATTCCACTCAGTCTTCACCAGCTGTTTTCCCTCCAGAGATAGAGAGATGTATTGTTTTTCTGCCGGCAACATGATGAACAGTTTTTGCTTTGCATATTTGCATTCTTGAGTCCCGTGATGTGGCCGTCTCACTGCGTGCCACATACTCTTTAAATTAATTTGTACCACTGTGTTCATAGCACAGTGGTACAAATACTGCCAGTTATACCAGCATGTATGTTCTTTAACAATGTATCTCTGTTATAAAGATGCAGAACAGGTGACGTTCTTTTAATTTATAGAGCCACCTGGTAAGAAGGCAGCAAACATTGTTGAGCTATCAAAATATTCCTGAGCAAACATCCAAGGATGAGGATGACAGCTGCCTGCTAAAATAACATTCAGCAATGTGACCATGATCCGCTCTCCTCTCAGTTCTCCCTTGCGCTCTGTGCTGTTACAAAGTTGTGTCCAGCAGCTTTTCTTTTATCTGCAAGACCCCCGAGTCCTACCTCCTCAGTTCCCTTATTTTCATTTGACATTATTAGTCAGATTCAAGACTTCCAAGTTGAGGTCTGTACAAAAAGCCCAAACCAACACAGTCTAAAGCCCTTTCTTTATTTTACATCACCTGTGTGCCATTGTGAAATATTGTTAGATCACTTCCCCTGAAGGAAAGGTATTTCTGTTGTCATACCTTTATAGAAGTACATTCCGATGATCTTGTTTCCCTCCTGTTTCAAAAATTACAATGCTGTGAATTGTTAGAAAAATCCTCAAATGTTCATTGAGTATCCTATAAACTTTCTGATTACACATCGACAGCCTGAGCTCTTGCACACTTACTGAGAATTAATGTCAAAGTCTGTGTGTCTGTAAAGCTGGACATTAAGACTTGAATCTGCTGTAGTGCTGTTCGTTATTGACCAACCTGCGGAGGGACCCTGAATGACAGCTACCCTCGAAGAACAATATGTCTAGAAGGATTCTATAAATAAATAAGTAAATAATACAAAGTTCAGCATTTTCTATGAAATCACAATGCAAACTTCAGTCTGATTTCTCCATGTTAGACGGAGATAAAATACAAGGGTAAAGCTCTATTACTATGAAAACAGTTTTAATAGAGAGATGAAATATAGGAGTTTCAGACCACCTACCGTGGGATACAGCTCTCCCCCCTTCCCTTCCTCCTTTCTGATGCAAGGCCAAATGTGTGGTGGGTGCACACAAAGTTCTCTCTGAAGTTCATTGTCTGGCTCCTCTAATGACGGCGCCCTGAATCCGACTGTGACCTTGCCGGGACACTGACGGGCTCATTTGCAGCGGGACGAAGTGACACAGGGATGACCTTAACTCCCATGTGGCATCCAAAATACTTTTTCTGTGTAAATGAGTATACCCTCTCTACACTACGATCGCATTCAAGCTCCATTAACGTCTGATATGAGCTTTAAAAAACAATACCTTGTACGCTCTTAAGCAAATATTCTATCTTTTTTGAAAGTGTGTGAAATAACACTCAAGCAGTCAAGGCCAAGTGACACAATTAGGCCTGCTAGTGTGATTATGCCATTACTGCTTGTCTTTTTCAGTTTCTATCATCGTCTCAGGGGTTGTTTGGGGGTGGAAATGTGATATAGCGTGTCACGGATAAATAGGTGTAAATACTAGCAAAGAAAATGTTTACCTACTGGGTCGTGCCCCTAAATTGAAGCACCTGACCTTGCAACAAAATTCCATGATGGGAAACATACTATTGTAACTGAAAGGAGTTTTTACTTTCTTGTGTTTGCTCTCAAGAAACACATGTGTTTTTATGTCATAAATATGTATGAATTTGGCCCTAAACAACAATAAAACGAAACGCCATCGTCCAAATAATACAAAAACTATCAAATCATCGAGACGTATTGTTGGCTGTTCTTGGATTGATAATAAATCAGCAGGACGTAGCATTAACATCAAAGGCTTTTGTGATTGGCAGGGTGGAAGAAATGCAAGCCAGTGTTTTTCCACTGAAGACATGAATGGACACCCAGTGAGTTCAGCTCGGCCAAACCTTTTAGCTTCATTCTTTTGAATCCCCCGAATACATTTTTACTTTTATAATCACTATCAATCCATGTGAAGGAAATGCTTTTCTGATTCTCTCGCCAATACTGAACGGGTGATTCTCGTTATAACGGCATGTTTATGGTGATTTTAAGTAGGCTGGATGATAAGCAAATGTTTGAGGGCCGCTTTTTCTTTGGAAATCTTGCTTTCTCCTGTTGTAAATTCTGATTCCAAAGAGGGCCTCTTTTTTTGTACTGGTGAAATCACGCTTTGAAACTAACAATGAGTGAGGCAATGAAATCTTATTAAATCAAATCTGCATCTACAGAAATCCTCCAATAATACTGATGTGTTTTCCATTTTCTTTGTTAAGCTGTCAATCACTTTTTCTCTCCACATATCTTCCTTCTCGCTCCAGAGCATTTTTGATTGTTACCTATAATTACATTTGTATTGTAATGACACTTTGATATTGGTTAAAAAAAGAGAAATAAATGGAAAAAACTGATTAATCAAGTGAATGTATGTGCCACTACACACTAACACTGTCATAGTGACACTCAGTTAATAGGGGAGTGTGGGGATAGGAGATAACTGGGCTTTGCAGATTACTTATAACAACTAATAAGTGACATTAACTGCTTTAATGATACAGTAGTGTCTGAATTGGCTCAATATTGGACCCTAGTGCACTTCAGATGAAGCATTAAATTGAGCTGATGTCCAAATATTTTTCTTTAAATTAAGCCTTGATTTAAAGAAAATATATTTTCTTTGAGTTTTCGCATTTACTTTCCAGTGTTTAATTTCTCTTCAATCCTTTTCCTTCCTCGTATTCCTTTCCGTAGTTTATCTGTAACCTTGCCTCCCATCATGTAATTTCCTCTTCCCTCCCCCTCCTCCCATCCCAAACCCTCACCCAGGAGCCCGGCCCTGCCAAGGTGACGGTAACGAGCAGCGGGGGGGGCAGCATCCCCTGCTTGCCCAGCAGCATCGCCGGCGCTGAGAGGGTCCCGATGAGCCGCACCACTCTGTGGCAGGAGGAGAGCCGCTGGAGCCGCGCCTCCATCCCCTGCAGCCGCAGCGCCTCCTGCCTCAGCCAGCTGGGCCAGAGCCAACCGGAGTCCAGTGTCACTACTCAGGACGGTGAGGGCAACGATGACAAATTCCTCAACATCCTGCACCTATGCTTCAGTTCTAGTTTCACTTACATAATGAAAAATAGGTCAACAAAAAGGAGGTTTGAAAATGTGCTGGTCACGACTAACATAAAGACATTGGCACATACTGCATCTCTTTTAGTTACCAGCTCAGCAAGATGTAAAAGCTGCAGACCTGGGCTTTAAGGGACAGTTCAACCCAAAATGATCGCCTAAATAACCTTTTTTTTAAACTTTACATCAATTGTTCTTCAGAAATACATAACCTTATTAAGCAAAAAAATCCACAGACCTTGTTGTGAGCTGTTTCATGTAAGTATTGTACATAAAACAACTCGAAGCAAGGTCCGTGGAGTATGTTAAGTAAGTCAGGATTGCTGAAGAGAGACTTTGCTGTTGAGTTTTTCAAATGTATTTTTAAGGAGCTCTGAGCACCACAAAAAGTGCCATCTTGTTCCATAATATTAGAGAAAAAGCAGACATCTCTGTAGTATTCATCTCCAACACTTGGCAATTTACACCAAACAAATGTAGATTAATAAAAGACACAAAAGGTCAGAGGGAAAACTTGACCATCAGCCTTTTCTTTCGTGCTTTATTGTTTTGGGAAGAAAGTGACATGCCTTACTCTTTTGCAGTATACAACAGATATATTTTAAAGCATGAACACATTTTTGACACCATATATGTGTCTGTTCTGGGTGATCCATATCAGTTGAACTGTGTCTTTACTTCAGATGCCGGACCCATGAGCACTGGACGCAAGGTACGAGTGGAGAGCGGTTACTTCTCCCTGGAGAAGACCAAGTCGGAGCCTCAGTCTGCCCTGTCCCCACAGTCTGCGCAGCCGCCCCAGCACCTGCCGCTGTCCTCTTCAGCCTCGTCCTCCTCTTTAGGAGCTCTCAGTCCCAGGTACATCTCCGAGTCAGACTCCCTAACATCCCCTTATCATCCCTCCCAAGATCCTCTCCCTTCTCCAGGTGCGCTTGTTTCCCCCAGCTACTCCACCATCAGCTCCTCCCAGAGCTCGCTGGACTCCGAGCCCAGCGGGAGTACGCCCACCTGGGAGGGACGCTGTGGTGGTGGAGGCAGCACCGGGAGTGTGGGTGGTGGAGGAGGCAGAGTGGGGAGGCCTGGCAGGGAGTACACTGCGCTGTCTGATGTGCCTCGAGCTCGCAGAATGAGCTACCGTGAAGCTTTCCGCTCAGAGAAAAAGCGCCAAGAGCTGAGGGCACGGACACGGAGTCCCGGCAGAGAGGAGGTGGCTCGGCTGTTTGGGCAGGAGCGCAGGTAAGAGGGATCAGTGTCATGCTCTGCACAATCAATAAGTTGCATTTAGCATGGAAAACATATGTGCAGATTCATTTGTGATCAAAATGGCAGCGAATCATGATTAGTAATCATTAATGAGCCACTGGTTGTCGGCCCTAGACATAGCCTTAAAGGTCCCCTATTATACTGTTTTTCATCACTAATTATAGGTCTCAGATATATACACAACATGTCTCTAAAGTGTTTGGCTCCAAACATCAAACAGATCATTGTAGCATCCCATAATCCCCTCTGTTTCAGCCCTGTTTCAAAAGTGCTGATTCTCTGTCTGTTACTTTAGATGAAAATAAGGAGCCCCTCCCCACGCCCCTCTGAGAGATATTTGGGTAAAAAGAACACAATGGTGCTCTAGGAGGAGATTCAGGTGATAAGGTGGGGGGGGGGGGTTACCTTTGTTGGTTATTGGCTAATGGTTACAAAACCCCCAAAAAAACCTTATGACATCATAAAGTGGCCAAAATCTGATCAGCTCATTTTCAGACAGGCTTTAATTTAAATGGATCAGGACAAAAAGTGAGCATGTATTTTTTCCTGAAACTTTCAGAATCTCTTTACACAGGGGGGACACATGTTGATGACATGAACAAGTGGATTTTGCATAATATGTGACCTTTAAAACATCGAGATAGCATTTGATTTATAATCTGAATCTCATGCATTCAGCTGTTCAGTTTTTAGCACCACCCTGTGGCTGCTGTCCTTGAGACTTTCTTATATCTTGAGCAGCTTTTGCTATTTCTGCTTCAACTAGCTTAACAGTGGTTTGCCATTAATGATTTAGGGATGCATATGCATGTTTTACTTTCTTTTCTATTGATCTTTTACCTTCTGCTCTTGCTACTTTCCTAGTTTCTTTTCTTTTCTTCCTAGGCTACTGAACTGAGCTTCTCAGAGCAAATGCTCAACCAACCCCTCCACCCCTGTCCCTGCTGGTCACCGCTGATTCCTGCTTTCTATCATTTCATCTCTGCACTGCCTGGGAGCACACACACACTGTTTCATATATATGATTTATGTATACTGTACACAAGCATACTGGTGGTTGGTACTGCGGGTTTACATACAGTCTGATTTTTATCTTTCTGGTGCACGCAGACGCACACGCACACGCACACGCACACACACACACACACACACACACACTCAACATACATAATAACACGTGCAGAGTCTTAAGGTAACACCGACTTTGTTGCCACTGCTTCTACTTCTGCAATTTGTTCAATCCACCATCCTAGTCATTTTCCGTTTTTAATCTCTCATCATATAACACCTAATCTTTATTCTTTTATGTATTTCTGGATTGTTCTCTTTTGGGATGTTATCTCTATCTTGCACATTGTAATATATGAAAGGGACTTTGAGTCTAAAATGATGTCCAAACTTCCTACGTGTTGTATCTACCAGTAATGGCTGCATTTCATTCTGCACAATTAACAAAAGATGATCAATTACGGAGATTGTTTTTGACTCAAATGAACTTTTTTTATCATGCTTATGGTCTTGATCTTACGCTGATTCTGCCACCATTTGGCTGTGGCTTTTACGAACTGTTATTTTTTATGCTGCACTATGTAATGATATTTCACTTATTGCCTGACAATACTTTTATGTTGAGTAAGATATTGTTTACTGTTGTGTTTTGAGTAAGTCTTTGTAACAAAATGGTCCTTTTGTGTTTCTTAGACGTTCTCAAGTCATTGGCCGATTCGAGGAAGGCCAGTCTGAAGAGCACATGGACACAAGCGGCTCCAATGATCCCTCGGCTAACCCCACGCTAATCCAGAGACAAGGGCGCAGCGAGAGGCGCTATCTGGCTAGTAAACATGTATGCATTTCTCTTTTCTAAACACATTTAAAATAATTTGGTGAATGGCATATGTATACAAATCTCCTCACTTTAAGGAATACTTCTCATTTCTAATAAACATTTGATCTTTAAAGGACCTGTCCCTGGATGCAGGAAAGGACCGTTCAGTCCCTGATGTGTCCAGCTCCACTTTTGCTAACTTAAGAAGAGCCAAGTCCCTGGACCGCAGAGTTACCGAGTCCTCCATGACTGTAAGTACTGATCACACATCTCAAATGTCAACAAGGGGACTACGAAATCATGTCAGGGTCCCATTAAAGTGCTTTGTGATTAAAGATTGGGATGCACAGAGACCTTCCCAGCAATGGAAACTGCCAATCAGAAGTGCTGCAGCAAAGATTGAACCCATTATACTAAGCTTTTTTTGGTTGTTTTCTCTGCACTGCTTAATCGTATTTTATTGATATGGTCCGTCTGGAAACTTGAAGTATCCATATCCTCAAACATCGTCCATGTCCGCATATATAATATTATATTAGCAAAGTCTTCCCAAGTGAGATTAAAGAAGCCCTAAAGTTGCCTAAGGTTGCTCTGGTATCTTCTTGACGTCTGACTCCAACAGTCTGACACACTGCGACTGATCCTAGGTCTGCTCAGTGCTGCAGGGGTGATCCAGTCAGTGTGTGGTCGAGCTGCAGCTGCCCGAACCCCCGCCCACTCAAACACACACACATTCATGTACACACCACGGCCGCACACGCTACTGATAATTATAAATAGCCGACACAGAGGCAGCCTCAGTCGTGTGTATGTCCCCGGGACAGAAGGAAAGACACAGATTGTCAACATATGCTGTGAAGGCAGTTAGCCATCAGAATGACTCTCTGCCAGGCCGTGACTCCACACCTGATGAAGCTCAGCAAAAACAAGGTACTGTTGAGTGAGCAGAGGCCAGGCTTTTGGACCAGTGATTTGACTTTTAGAGTCTATAAACAGACTTGAGCTTAGTTTCAATGTGCAGCAGTTTGTGTTTCACAGGGAAAGTCCAGCTCCCGCCAGTCGGCCTTTTTTAGCTGGAGCCACGTATCTGCACTTTTTCTTCTTTAGGCTGAGGTGGTGACCTATATGTAAACAAATGCATTTAATTGCAGTGGTGCATATGGAGATGTCGTTTATGTATTCTAGTTACATCAGTGATAAAAAGCTCTTAGTAAGGACTTTAAATATAGTGACAAATGTGCAAAAAATGCTTTATTTCAATCCTTTTTGTATCAATGTGGTTGATATTGAATCAAAGATGGCTTCTAAGTGGCAGCTGCATTTCCTTTTACTTTCAATGAGTTCATGTAGTAGCATCACATCATATCACATCACTCTATTCTGTCTTCGTTGCAGCCAGATCTGCTGAACTTCAAAAAAGGATGGATGACAAAGCTGTACGAAGATGGGATGGTATTTAACTTTTATTTGAGGGATTTAATTAAATTGGCTTCTACTGGATAAACCATATACTCATCCAATGTATGTTGTCTTTTCCCCTTTAGTGGAAGAAACACTGGTTTGTCCTGACTGATCAGAATTTGCGATACTACAAGGACTCAATAGCCGAGGAGGTAAAACACATTTTCCAGAGACTGTGTGCTTTTATTTTGAATAAATATGCAAATAAAAAGGCTTTTTTTGTAATTTGTCTTTTTTTTTTTCTTCCCCTAGGCTTCATTAATGGATGGTGAGATCGACCTCTCCACTTGTTATGATGTCAAAGAGTTCCCGGTCCAGAGGAACTACGGCTTCCAAATCCTGGTGAGTTTTGATTCTTCACGTCATCTTGTGCCGGGACATTAATCACCAGCAATGATGAAACTCATTGTCTGCAAACATGAGCTCTGCTGTCTCCAGCCAGTCTATTAACAGCCGTTTGACAACATGTGAGGCATATTTAGGTATCATGTTTGGTCTTTCCGAAACGATTATTTGTCTTGCTTGACGGATGCCACTTGACTTGTCATCTCTGCGAGAGGCTGACATCATTGTGGTCTAAATCTGCTGCAGCCCCGCGTGTCTCTCTAAATCCACATCCTTCACAATATTTTTACCTTCCTCTTGCAAAGTCAAAAGTCAAAGTCAACTTTAATGTCAATCTTACTCAGTTTGTGTTTACAGACAGAGAGAAAGAAATGACGTTTCCAACAATCCCGAATGTAAAATCCTATATACACAATCAACAGACACATTTACACATATGCACACATTAAGATAAAATAAAAACACAACATATAATATATACAAAATAACAGTCACTTCAATATCAATATATTTGGTGCAAGATTGTCCATAAAATGTGCATTTACTGCAGATTGTCCATAGCAGCGTAAAAAAAAGTGTCTTGTGCTGGATTTGAGTGTCTGTGTGTGTGTGTGGGGAGTTATAATCCAGTGGGGGCAGGGGAGAGGGGGGAGAGAGTTCAGCCTCCTGACAGCCAAAATACTGTTCTTTAGTCTGGTTGTGCTCGACCTCAGGCTGCGTAACCTCCTCCTTGTCCACATTTAATCAACAACAGTTTGGTCATTTCACTCTGAAGTGTAATTGCACAACTGTTGTGCAGTTCTGAGGATGCTGCTGTGAGTCCTAGGACAGAACACTTTCGTCATATAATCCTTTCACCATGCCATTAAACATTTTTAGCACTTGTTGCTGGCAAAATACTAACCAGACGCATATAGTTGCAATGCAGTTGAATCGTTATCCATTAGATGTCAGTGTGGGTTTTGTTCCTGCTACATATAGATTCAAACTGCATCAGATAGAGATACAGAGAGCTGCAAGGTCACTTCTTTTGTTTACTTTTGCTTGAAGCAGCTTCCCCAGCTATTTTTCTCTGGGGTAATTCCGAAATAGAAAAGTGGAAGGGATCGTTGTCTCTTTGGCTGAGAACAACATGGGTTTGGTGACGAGAAATTAATAACCTCAGTATTTATGTCCACTCCCTCGGCTGCACGGTCAGACTGGAAGAGGCTGTTGTTCTGTCATTACAGTTAAAGCAGTGAAATAAAGTACCCTGTTTCTCAAACCCCATTATTGTGTCCTTAGAAGCTTTAATGAATATACTTTAATTTTGTAGAAATCACTTGACTTCCACTAGAGGTCCTGTACATGTATTACATACAAAGTCATGCTGAAAAACTAAAGCCATTAAGCAAAGGGTTCCTCAGTTTAAATGAATATTTCCTAAATGTGGATATCCTTTGCTTAATGGCACAGGGAAACAACTATATGACATATGTGTAATTGTACTGTTTACTGTATGTAACAGTGTTTTATTTGCCTCAGCTATTTTTTTTATTCTAGAGACTATTAACATGATATGGTATTATTAGAAAACCCCAAAACTAAAGGTTGCCTATAAATGATTACAATTTCAGTCACTGTAATAGATAAGCAGCAGTTTTGTATAAAGCAGTTTCCCACACGTCCTAAACTGCCCAGAAGTGTCCTTAATTTATGAGTAAAGGAGAAGTGAGGCCAGTGTTTTTGTTCTCTTTTCCAGTTTTCTTGTCATTGTTATACTGTTAAAAAGAACTGAGCTATGAGAAGGGAACCTGAGTTCGGAGAACCAAGAGAGAACGTAGAGGTTTAGATGTACTCCTTAGAGTAGGAAGTGTTCTGCATGAGAGCTGCTTTTTAAAAATCATCATTCGTAAGAAGCTACTGCACGTCATCTAATGCAGTAATTATAATTTGTCTACCCACCAGTAGCAACAAATGAGTCTATCCCCTGAAACAAAAAAAAGCCTTACATCGTCTAGGCAACGCCACATTTCTTCTATTTGAGGCTTGTGCAAAAACAAGGGCTTTGTTTCAAAGGTATTTTAATCGGCGTGTTGTCACATCCCTGTCACTCATGTAAATGAAATGCCTTTCTGTTTTCAGTGTAAAGAGGGAGCGGGCACCCTGTCTGCCATGACCTCTGGAATCCGTCGCAACTGGATTCAGGCCATCATGACGAATGTGCGACCCACTATTGCCCCTGATGTCACTCGGTAATACCCAAAGAGGATTAACGCTTAAACCACTGGGAGATGAAACTACTGCTTTTTCTCACTCATTTGATTTAAATCCCTCTCTCCTCCTCACCCTCTCTTTCCCTTCTCTCTCCTCCCCCCCCTTCAACCGGTATTTCCAACCTGCTTCCAGGAAAAACATCTCACTGAAACTGTCCGTTCTGAAGCCCAGGTTGGAGTGCTTGTGTGTTGAATATCTCCCCCTCCTCGAACAGTGATGTAATTGCTCAGCAATGTCAGTCCCAGCGTGTTTGTCGTCCCGCCCTATGTCATGTGATTGTTGAGTAACGTCTCCTTGTCAGTCGTGCCACTGTAGACACACACTTCAATCACATCAACATACGAGAATAACCTTCCCGACCTTCTGTTGATCAACAGCAGAGCGTTTGATGATCCTTGTAGTGTGACGGTCCACTGGGTGTCTTTTGAAGATTATCACAAAACAACAACAATTTCGAGGAGATAGAAAAGGCCTTTAGTGAATAGGGAGAAGAGGGTCTATTTTTTTCCTGTAATTGCTCAAAAACTGTTCTCCTGAGGATTTCTTCGTGTCTACCTAAGCATTTATTGTTGTGCTTTAAAAAGCCATGTATTGCCTTTCAGACGGCTCATCACAAGACACTGAATACACACTATGACCTGCTTTCAAAGATTTAAACATTCTGCCAGTGTATCTTAGGCAACTCTCTCCAAGCGGAGAATGCGTGTTATTTTTGCAAAGACACCTCTTTCTCATTCTTGAGCCTTGTCCCTTCTCATTTTCCCCTTACTCATACCTCCCTGACACCTCCACACACAACGTGGCAAAAATAGATTATTCCGTCATGTTACTTTGCCCCTCAACACCACCAAGTGCCCATCAACACATTCTTAACATTAAGCCACTACTGTATACAAATAGCAGCTAAAGGCGACGTCTGCCATCAGGCTTACCCCAGATCACGACTGTTAAAACCGAAGCTGCTTTCAGTCTGTTGCAGGGTGCCATATAAGCATTTTGTTGTTAATGATTTGACTTTGAGGCATTTTACTGATTATCATGCTTTTAATGCACAATTTAATGATGCTGTTCTGCAACGAATATATGCATTTGTGTCTGTCCGGCAAAGCTTTATATAAGTGTATTGGAGCTTGAGCTGATATATGTGTAAAAATTCCTCATGTTTTTCTGGTAACATCCTCTTACATATATTTTTCCTTTTATTGTGCCTTTGTTCATACAGATCCCTCCCTGAAGAGAAGGCAAAAGCCAACGTGATGTTAGAGCCGTGTCCACAGGCCTCACCTGAGCTGAGCACAAGTCCTGAAGCCCCAAAGTCCTTCGTCCACACACAGACGTCTGGAAGCAACGCCTCTGGCCCTCTCTCCGAGCAACGTAAAAGCCGAGTCCGTGAGCGCAGACGAGAGGGTCGTTCCAAGACTTTTGACTGGTCCGAGTTTAAAATGGAGCAGACAGAAAAGCGAGCAATGGAGCGAGCGGACACAGTGGACCTCACTTCATCTTTCTCTACAACGTCCTCATTTTGCTCTACCTCCTCTTCGCCTTCCTCATTAGCGTCCTCTCCTATCTCTACCTCCTCCCTCCAAACCTCCTCTCTGTCAGGTGCTCACCCACCTTCTATGACCCCAGAAGCAGAAAAGGAGAGTGTCAGGAGGGGCGTCCTCCCACATGGCACAACCAGTGCCCAGCACATGCCAAATACTGTTACCGTCACTATGACTTCCACGCTTAACACGACATCCCCAGTACCGCCATCGATACCTGAATGCCATGAGCAAGGAAAGATGGAAGTAGACCACCCAGCACCAATGCATCCTGCTAGTGAAGATAAGAAGACAAATAAAAACCCGGATGTCCATCAAGAGATCGAGCAGCGGTGGCATCAGGTGGAGACGACGCCGTTAAGAGAAGAGAAGCAAGTTTCTATCAACACAGCTTCAGGAAACTCTAGTAACTCTGACAGATTGCCGGCTGATGAGCTTGCTGCGCTGCTAGACAAAGAGGTGCGTTTCTTCAGTATGGTCATATTTACATCTTAATGGTATTGGAGCATCTTGTCATTCATTGTTTCTTCAATTTCTTTCTTTTGGCCCAGTTGGGAGAGAAGCAGCAGGAGCTGGACCGACTGCAGAAGCAAAACTATGTTTTAAAAGAGCAGCTGGAGGATGCACTTGGGAGGGAACACAGTGCCAGACAGGGCTATGTGCTGCAGGTACTACACTCACCATCCATACTGCAGGATCAGTATTGGTTTATTGACAACATGCACAAATAGCATTCCAACATTTATTAAGAGAAATCAATCCTGAGTCAAACGTGGCACAGTAAAAGTTTGTACCTGTATAGATTATATTTGTGTTATAAGGTATACTAGCTCATGATATATCAGATGTATTATGTATGGCTACTGTAACTTATATAATATTCTACTAACAGGTGTGGGTGCTTTTATCTCTGAAACTGATACGCATGGTTGTGGTGTTCTTAGCATGAGTTTTCATTAACTGTCTTTTACGGAGTTTCACATCTCCTGGGAAATAATTGATTTGATCCGATATGCTTGAGGTAAGAAACTTGATCAAGGAGCCTTGCGCTGTGCTTTTTCTCTCTTTGTCTGTGCACCCTTTCCAAGCTTGATTTCTGCATGCTTATTGGTGTTTCAGAATTGCATACTTTAACTGCTTTTTTACATTGTGCATTTTTAAGTTACTACTATTTCTCATAGAATCAGAATGTCGTTTTTTGTTGAATAAATCTACTTAACTTTGCGAAAGTTAAGTAGATGGTCTGCTTTTTATTTATTTTTTATAAATCATTATATCAGTGACCCAGCAAGGTTTTTGTTTTTTTGGAAGTGGGGGGGGGGGGGGGGTTTCATTCGCACCTTTCCATTTTCAAGTCACCTCTGAAAAAGCACAGTGGAAGCTTGGGAAAAGCTTCAAAAGAAAGCTTCAAATCAAGAGAGGAAAACTTATTTTCCTGGTTCCCCCCGAGATGTGGTTCTCCGTATATGGTAGGTGAAATAAGGATGTAATTAATACAATTGTTTCATCAATCTTTTTCAAGAGTGCAACATCCCCTTCCTCTTCACCGCAAAGAGTGCCGTGGCAGCGCCTGCACACGCTTAATGAAGATTTGCAGGGCGAGTTGGAAACCCAAAAGCGAAAGCAGGATCTTGCTCAGCAGCAGATTCGGACACTAAAGAGAAGCTACACAGAAGCGCAGGATGCGGTAGACCACCATGAGTCTGGTATTCAGGCTCTGCAGACTAAACTAGCATCTGCAATGGCCGAAATCTTGGCGAGTGAACAGGCTGTTGCCAGAATGCGCAATGAGCTCAAGCTAGAGCAGAAACGTTCAAAGGAACAAGAAGATGAATATGGTCGTGGTGAGGCCACACTACGTGCCCAGCTAAAGGACAGTGAAGAGAGACTCCGTGAAGTAGAAGCCAGCCTCTTAGAGAGAAACCAGGCCCTCAGGCACCTGGAGCGCCAGCAGGCCCTGCAACGAGACCATGTTAGAGAGATTCAACGGCTCCAGGAGCGGCTGCAAGAGGTCACTGCTAGGATCAATGTTACCGAAGAGGGTCAAGCACTGAAGGAAGAGCGCCTGAGGAAGGATCAGCATAGCCTGCAAGAGAGTCACGAGAAGGAAAGACAGAATCTGTGTCGAAAATTAGCTGAGGCTGAAACTGCACAGAAAGAGATGGAGGTCCGTGTGCTAGAGGCTGAGCAGCAGGTGGAGGCCTTGTTAAGAGGCAGGCAGGCTTCTGGGGCAAAAGAAAGCAGGGAGGAAATGCTGAAGTTGCAAGAGGAACTGGCCCAGAAGACTGACATGGTGGAGTCACTAAGGGAGAGTGTGCGCAGGCTAGAAGAAGAGAAAGGCCATCTCACCTGCCGCTGTCAGGAGCTCCTTAACCAGATAGCAGAAGCAGACCGTGAGGTGAACAAGCTTCGCAATCGCCTCGAAACAGAAGAAGCTGATTACTACACCCTAGAGCACTCCTATGAGAGGGCTACTCAAGAGTTTCAGAAAATGAGCCAGTTCCTACGAGAGAAAGAAGAGGAGATCCGGCAGACTAAGGAAATGTATGAGAGGCTGATGGTACGCAAGGAAGAGGACTTGAAAGAAGCCCTTATTAAAATGGCTGCACTTGGCAACAGCTTGGAGGAAACTGAACAGAAGTTGCAAGCTAAGGAGGAGCTTCTTTGCCATATGAGTCCAAATCTCTTGGATAAAGTTGAACCCTGTAGTGCTGAAAAGGATCTGCAGGCCAAGCTTGTAGTTGCAGAGGATCGCATAGCAGAACTTGAGCAGCATCTTAATGCCCTGCAGCTGGGCTACGCTGACCTACGCATGGAAAGGCAGCAAATCCCAGACAAGAGCAAGAAGGCAAGGCTTAAAACATCCGCCTCCTTAGCAGCAAACACAGATCTCTTACTTACCTATGACAATTCATCCAAGACGGAGAACTCCCAAGATGATAAGGAGTCTCAAGCTAAGAGACCAAGGATACGTTTTTCCACAATTCAGTGCCAGAAATACATAAGTCTCGAGGGCATGGACACTATCAATGCGAGCACTGCAGACACAACACAAAATGAGGATGTTAAGGAAGATACTGATTTTAGTAAAGGGAACATCTCTGATATTACTTTCTCTCACATTAGTGACCCAGAGAAGTTCATTTCTATCATACACGCCCTAGAGACTAAGCTGCTAGCCACCGAGGATACACTCAGAAACCTCACACAAAATGTAGGAGAGCAATCCAAGCAAGCAGAAGATGCGTCTAAGAATTATCTAAAGATGACAGACACAAATCCTAACCCCAATAAGGAGTTTAGTAATGGAAGTGGGACACAGAGTAGTGCTGCCAATAAGCATTATGCCAAGGCTCTGTTGTGTGTGGAAAGCAGTCGAGAGAAAGTCAGGACTATTCTTAATGGCTCTCATGTTACCACCGGTTCACAGCTGCACTCATTGTCAGAGATAGAGAACCATTTGTTCAATGCATCACTGTTCATCCGACAAGGACAAACGACTGAAGAGCAATCACCAGTTGTCCATACAAATACAACCCCAGAGACTCTAGATAAAGAAGCTTTGCACCTCTTTGCCAAAACGTTATCATTTGAGGCGGTTGTTCTGAATAAAATGGCTTTGTTATTACAGACATCAAAGTCTGACCTCCTACAATCTCTTACCGAGATATGGGAAGACTTGGAGAACATTCAAAGAGGTGACAAAGAGTGCTTGGCTATAGTTTATGCTGATGTCTTGACCAGGAAGTTGATGTTAGAAAGTTCATTCTTGAAAGAATTGGAGAAAGCTGAGACGGATGTTGCTAAATCCAAAGAGGAAAGTGTTTCAGCTGATGTAGATGTTGATTCCACAGTTATCTTTAACACTTTAATTAAAGCTGAGCTAGCCTACTCTATTCAAAACCTTAACATGTGCTATGAAGAGAAATTCAAAATACTGAAAAGGGAGATAACTCAGGCTCATGATAACCTGCATCAAAGGGAAATAGCCTTGAAAACAATTATTGAAGCTTCCAAAAGCCCTGATTTGATAAATGTAATAAAAGAAGTCAAAAATAACTTTGAGTTTGGTGAACAAAAGTTAGCAGACATTTCCCCCCCCCGAACTAGCTCCCTACATGGAGCAAATTGAAATGGAAGAGGCTAGAGACTTGGCTGAGGAAGTCGTAGACAGACATTTGGCTAGAGAAATGCCATCTTGTGGTATTAATTCTATTGAATCGCTGCAACATGCACATGACATCTTGGCCAATGAGCTTCAAAGACAAGCAAAAATCCTCCATAAGTTTGCTCAAGAGATAGAAAATGGTGGAAACCATCCTAGACTGGCTAAAATGATCCACGGTCTTCTGGGCCACCAAACCTCACATGGTTTAACAAGTACCTCTGTCTGTATGCGCGACGCCCTAATCCAGGCTCAGGTAGCTTATGTGGCATGCAGGTTACAGGCCATGCATGAACAAGACGTGGGCTGGTGCAAACAGACAGGTCAAAACATGGATGCTCTTGTCCAACAGCACGCCCGAAAAGTCAACACAATCCAAGAAAATTATGAAGCATCATTAAAGGAGGAACGCTTGAACTTAACACAAGCAGTTTCCACTCTCAAGAAGGAGAACCATACGCTCAAGAGTGAGATCAGCAAACGTGTGAACCAGCTTTCACAGCAGCAGGACCAACTGGCTCTCCTGGAGGAACGTTTCCAGAAGGACACTGAAGAGATAAAACAGAGGCATAAGCACGAGCTAAGCCAAGCTGAGAAAGGCCGAGCCTCCACAGAGCTGGCCCTCATGGACACTACAGCTGGCAGTCAGCACAAGCTAGAAGTCCTGCTGGTGGACATGGAAACCATGGAGGAGCGGCACGAGGGTCACGTGAGGAAACTGGAAGAGCAGTTTGAACAGCGGATCTGTGAGCTCCAGCAAATCCACAAAGAGGAGATTGAAAAGTTACATTCCCAGTATATGGAAAACGTTCAATGTATCCAACAGCACAATAAAGGTCTTGAGGTTTACAACTCGCCTCCTTGTGATGAGGCCCCTACACCAATGGATGAGGAGGAGCAGGGGAAGGGGGAGGATGCACATACCAGGTCAGAGGTGGACTCCATGCTGGTTCTGAAGGACCGGATCCAGGAGCTGGAGGCTCAGATGAGCACCATGAAGGACGAACTGGAGAACAAGCATCTAGAAGGAGATGTGGCCAGCCTGAGAGAGAAATACCAGAGAGACTTTGAAAGTCTTAAGGTTTTTGCTCTTTCATTATACTGTAGTGATTTTTGTTATACATAAGTGAGAGAGTATTAGATTGAAAGTAAGATAGCATAATAACAAGCTGCTTTTGTCCATTTATCTACTAATATGCACAGAGCGATTGAATTGGCAATGGCTTGTTTCGAGATTGTTTGTAAATCTCTGAATCTTGCATCATAGATGGCATCAGTTTGCTTACATCGCTAGAGCCATACTAGCTGCATGTTTCTAAGGTTTGTAAGGTTAGGCGCTTTTATCCACCCATTTGGTTACCTTGACTTTAGATTTACAGCCAGTCAAGAGTACCATCATTTGATTGTGATTGGTATGAAATGTGCCACAGCCATCCATGGTACCCAGGTGATGAACCCTAATGACTGTGGTGATGCCCTGAATCATCCTGTTGTCTTATCAACGTTTGGATGAATTGTCAACACGTCATTTTATGACCAAATACCTGCAAAACTAACTTGAAACTGCAGGCTTTAATGCTCTCTGTAGTTGGTACAGAACTCATGGAAATACAAGTTTGGCATTATATAGACCAAACCGATGCACGTCAAAAGGGCTGGATCAGGGTGGGACATCCCTGGTAGTTTTACATAATAAAGCAAGGAAATATGTTGCAGGTTGTTTCTTCTTACAATCCTGAATATTAAAAGTGTAACATGGCTCGATTGCCACAAACATTGCTTCTTGATTTGGGCATTAACAGACAAACCATTTCCTAAATTCAATTATAGAAGGAGGTGCAGTCTATTAATGACAAAAATGCAGTCGATGATGGATTAAAATGTCACAGCTTTACCTCACTCTCTTACATAGCTGGGCTTCACATCATTAAAGCTTGCATGGATTCTATCACTGATTTTGCATGACACCATGTAGCCTAGTGGATGATTAATATGTATTGGACTTCATGAATAGTCACAAATTAGATTATACTGTAGGTGGTAAATGCAAAGGTAACTTTGCAATAACATATTCTTTATCCGTTCTTCCTCTAGGCTACGTGTGAACGTGGCTTTGCAACAATGGAAGACACACACCACAAGGTAATAAATGACCTCCAGAGGCAGCATCAGAGGGAGATCGCAAAACTTATGGAAGAGAGAGAGAGACTTTTGGCTGAGGAGACTGCTGCCACAATTGCTGGTAATTAAACTGTTTTTTCACCCGTGATTTCTAAACTTTAAACAAAACCAGCGTACAATAATTAAATGTGATTCCTTTTAAATGTAGCTATTGAAGCAATGAAGAATGCACACAAGGAGGAACTGAACAAGACCCATCGTTCCCAACTGAGCGGACTGAACGCTGACATTGATGAACTGCGCTTACAATACGAGTATGTTTTGAATACGAAAACTATTAAGATATTCCATGTTAAATATAACAACAATTAAATCTCTATTTAGGTTTAAGAGCCCTGAGGTTTAAACATGTGTTTGTGTTAATAGTACTACTTCGGTGGATTTGCAGATAATCCTTATGTTGTTGCAGGATTGGCAATTATAACAATTTGGCAGCTTGTCAGCGGCTGGAAAACTGGAGCAAATAAAAATAAAAGCTTTTAAGGAAAATCCCTTTTTTATGATTAGGTCCACCTCATTCTAGACTTGTTTGGTCAACATCAAATGAGAACTGTGGTTAATATTGTGATGACGTGCCTGTCCAGGGAGGAGCTGCAGTCGATCCACAGAGAACTGGAGGTGCTGTCGGAGCAGTACTCTCAGAAATGTCTGGAGAACGCTCACCTGGCCCAGGCCCTGGAGGCCGAGAGGCAGGCCCTCAGGCAGTGTCAGAGAGAGAACCAGGAGCTCAACGCTCACAACCAGGTTGGATTGCACACATGCACATGTACCTATAAAAATCATTTCTGTCCATGGATTTAAACTAAACTTTATTCTCTCCAACAGGAACTAAACAACCGACTGACTACAGAGATCACTCGGATGCGCTCCTGCTTCAGTGGAGAAACAGTAATGTCACCACTTACCCAGGGAAAAGATGTGTATGAACTTGAGGTATGTCTAAACACAAACAATGCAAACACACATGCAGTAAGGATTGGAACTTTTGCCTTCTGACCGTTCTGCCCATCTTGTAGGTGTTGCTACGAATTAAGGAGTCAGAGATCCAGTATCTTAAGCAGGAAATCCACTCTTTGAAAGATGAACTGCAGTCTGCTTTAAGGGTAAGCAAAAACAATCTTTAGATAGATAACATATTAATGTTTGTGTATTTTAGTAATGCTGCATTGATGACTTTTCAACAGGACAAGAAGTATGCCACAGAAAAATATAAAGACATCTACACAGAGCTCAGCATTGTGAAAGCAAAGGCTGACTGCGACATCAGCAAACTGAAGGAGAAGCTGCTCATTGCAACAGAAGCTTTAGGAGAGAGGAACGTCGATGGAACAGTCACACCTGGATACGGTAAATACGAAGTTTAACCTTATTTTGCATCCCATTGGATTTACCAAAGTATTTCTTACCAGATAGGGAAATGTAAACAATGTTTAAATGTACATTTTAAAATGGTGTGCATATACAGTCATGGTTAACTGTATCAAAGATCTACAGAATCGCCCTGTTTGTGCTCCATGTAATTTATTATGATATATTTGGATTTGACATAAAGGTGAAGCTCATTTTGAAGTCAGCATCATTAACCCTTAAATGCATGTTTTTCATTCCTATCCCTGTATAGAGAACCCCAGGTGCACTGAACCTCTATAAGGTTCATATTAAACTATTTTGGCTAAACTGTAGTGCTTTTTTTTTAGATATCATGAAATCAAAAAGTAATCCAGAATTCCTGAAAAAGGAACGATCAAACGCCGCCAAGCAATCAAGAGGCCTAAGGTCAAAGGTGAGTGTCAAGTTCTATAAAAAATGTCTCTTATTTACAGGCATCTGTCCCAAATTCAAACATACACATGGAGTAAATCCACACACTTTTAAGCTGCCACTTGAGTTGCTGTGTATTGTAAAGTTGTCATGTAGACTTCATCACTGTCAATCGTTCCACCACACACTGTGTTGCACAGTTACTCAGGAATTTTTTACTGAAAGTCTCTTGTCCTGTAAGTTTTGTCATCTTGTCTATTTTGTCTATCAGTCTGTCATTGAACAGGCATCATGGGATAGCTGACACTCCCATTGTGGGGTGATTCCCCCCCCAAGCCCCGCCCCAAGATGTTCTGTAGGTATAGCATGATGTAGCCCAAAGCATGCCCCTACCACCCTTGCATGATCTCCCCTCCCTCCCCCTTAACCAACCCGCCGTATCACAGACCCTGAGCATTAGCAAGCTAGAGGTTTTTGAAAAACCTTTTTGATACTGCTCAAAATCAGGTGAATGTAAAGCTACAGCCTGCTGATTAGCTTAGCTTAGCATAATGACTGGGGGAAAGGGAAACCTCTGTAGCCAGGTGAAAACTAATAAGTTGACAAACCCCTTTAAAGCTCACAAATGAAAACATGATCTCACTTGTATAATTGGTACAAACACTGAAGTTTAACATACACATCAAACAAAAAATCTAATTGTGCTAGGTAGTGAGCTTTAAAGGGGCATGTGGGCGGATTGTGTGTTGTTGTTTTTGGACCAAGCCAGTCTAGGTGTTACTTTATAAATCGAACTCTTAAGGATATACAGTTTTATTTTACATATATATTGTATTTAATGATGTAACCTGTGTATTTACTGCCAAACTGACACTTTTATTGTAAAAACCTTGTCTGTAATTGTTGTCTATGTCTGTTTGTGAGTTTTGAATGTATTTGTGCATTGTGTGCAACTCTTTTTCGTAGATCGCACATTAAAATATAGTGTGCTGTCCAGATCAGAAAAAGTTGACAAACACAACTGTTTTGGTATGTCTGTGTATGTCTCTTGTTTTCTGCACACATGCGTTTGTCAATTATGAAGAATAAATAACTTTATTTTTCTCTTCTTCTACAGAGCCTGAAAGAGGGACTTACGGTGCAGGAGCGTATGAAGCTTTTTGAGGCAAAAGATTCCAAAAAGATTTAAATTTTTAAGAATCTGCAGTTTCAGTTTTTCTTCCTGACCTCAGTTTTCGGTCAGATGGTACGGCCATGCCAGCATTTGCTGAAGACTTGTATAGGAAATGGAAAAAAATCTGTTACGGTCAAAACCAAGACCTGCTGCTTCCATCCCTCTGATTAGTGGTCATATTTTTGTTAGATTTTTTTAGGTGAAAAACTTTTATTGAATCAATCCTGTGTAATTTTTCTTTAAAAAAATCCATAGACGTATAATCTGTCCAACATGGAGATGTGTCAAATAAGCTGTGAGAGGAATACATGACAGCCTTTTTATTGATCCTCTATAATGCCAAAACGACAGCAATACACAGTATAAATAATATATATTTCCCAATATGAATTAAGTATCTGCTGTATTTTATTATTGTTACAGTTTCTATATCTAATAATTTTTTATGTGTTTAATGTTGCACCAGTTCTGTTGTACATAACTACTGGATATATGTTAGAGTAAGGTTTGCTATTGATTCTTGGGGCATCTGCTGTACTATAACTATGGTTTGATTGATAGTGGAAAACAATGTGATGCTAACTTGCTTATGTATGAGAGTTTTATAAAAATGGAGTGTCTGTGTGTGAAGGGGGATATAGAGGGGTGGGATTGCACTTATCACTTGACTACTTGAGGAAGCTTTGTTTTATTTGTCTCAAACTGGTGTAGTGACTTCAAGTCATTTATTGCAGTGCAACCAAACACCCTAACTTCTGTCAAATTTAGTGGAAACCCGTGACTTGTTAGTGATACTGGACTTTTTTTTCTTTGAACCTGGATTTGTGTTTGCTCAGTTTTGATTAGCGTGAAAATATCATCTCAGAAAACAGGAACTATTTAGGACGTTGCATGACTGTACAGTACCTTTTTGAATTGCAGAATGGTCATGTTGCCTCTTTTTCCTACTTTTTTGCTTCAGTGTGGAACTCTTTAACACTACTAAGCTTTGCTTTGCAAGTCCTACTGTTTAGGTGTTGAGATTGAAATGTTTTACTGTAAGCGGCAGTCTTGAAGCACTCGGCCCAATCCCTGACCTCTCACTGAAATCTAGTCGTGCCTCAACTGAGTGAAGAATATAAACATCCATGAAACCTGTGCAGCTATGGATACACACTGTATAGTATTCAAACCATGCCTTGTATATATATATATGCTACACGGAAGACTTCTGTGTTTTGTTTAAAACTTGGACCTTGCTCACTAGCTCTATATTAAATATATATGAATATTTTTTATTTTCATTTGAATGTATAACGTCAAATAAATGAAGTGTTTGGAAGTTTGAGTTATAGTTTTATTTTTTAGACACTTTTTTTTTATTGAAGACTCCTTAGTAATCTGTCGTAGATTTAGCATTTTTCCAACACAACAGTAATGTTAAAGCAATAGAACAAATGAATATATTTTTATTTTTAATGCTAGCTTTTATGGTATAAAATGACCTTTAATCCTTTTAAAAAAAAAAAACAGACTAGTTCAGTCTACAGAATGGTTGAAATATCAAATGTAAAATGGACTTAACTGCCCTTACAGTGAATTTTCTTGCTACATATTTCTCCTTTTGCTCATGAGAAAATACATAAAACAAAACACGTCATTTCATAAAAACAGCGCACACAAAACTTTAAAAGCCAAAAAAAAAAGGTAATTACAGTGAAATTATAGAACTTTGCAAGTCCTCACTTTTTATGTGGAAACCAACTTCATATATCAAGACTTAATGCACACTATTATTAACGGACCATTATAATCTTCTCCGGAAAGTACCCTGCTGTGAGCATGTTCCACTTTTTACTAGGCAGCAATGATGTCAACAAGAAGCGAGCCACAACTAAATGAAAACAAAACTCAGTAACTCGAGTAACGAAAAATTGCCATATTATGTTGGATTGCATCAATGCATCAGTCAGGCTGTGAACATTGAATTAGGGATAGGTTGAATATGTAGCATTCGTTCTAGCCAATTAGACGTGCCATATCATGTTCTCCACCTCCTTCTCCCTCCTCCTCCTCTTTGTCCTTCAAAGCATCGATCAGTCTGACCCAGAAGGTGTCCTGCTCCTGTGGTTCCTCCGGCCACAGCAGGTAGGTCTTCTTGCGAACAATCTTGCATAAACGTGTGTAGGGAGACAAGCAGCGTTCAGGTATCTCCTCCAGGAACACCAGCAGCAGGACGTCACTGCCATCGTATAAAAGCCTCAGACTGGCCAGCTGAAACTCCATGGAGCACCACTCGCTTTGCAGGAAATTACGCGTCACCACACAGATGGTGTGGCGAGAACCGTAAATGGCGGCCTCGATGTTCTCCAGGACAGCAGCGCCGGGTCGGAAGTCTCTGTGGTGGAGGCACAGCCGGAGGGGGGGTGCACCTGCAGCAGGCCTCTCCAGGCTGGGAACCAACTGCTTCATCACCCAGCCCTCATCCTTAGAGCTGTAGGAGATGAATGCATCATACTGGAATTTGGCACTTCTACGTCCACGTAGTTTGGCCCTGAGGACGAGCAGCAGGTAGCGCACAGTGGGGCCCTGTGTGTGCCAGGCCAGACACACACATACAAACAAAATGTCCACAACAGAGCAGGCGATGAAGAGGGTGAAGGAAACATATTCAAAGGAGCAAGCCTTTTCGTCAAACTGCCAAAGGAAGGGAGATTTCCTTTCCTCGTCGCACCGAATGTCGTACAGGAAGGACACCTACAAGGGGAACAAAATAAAATAAATGTACAGCTTTGTGCTTTTAAGTTAATTTATAACATACATTAATACTTTTTTGAGAATGTCAGCAGCTTCTTTTACCCTTGTTTGATTGTTGTGGATGGCCCAGTTCTTGAACCAGGCATTATCACAGTTACAGCTGATCGGGTTATCTGAAATGTCCAATACAAGCAATCTGGAAACACACAGGTAAACACAAAGTTTTATTAAATTCTAATTAACCCCAAATACCTCTCCGCCTGTAGGCTATAAGTGGACACAGTAGCAGTTCCTACATTCAAATGGTTTGCTTACACATTTGCATGTTTAAAACCCTTACTGTATTAAATGTATAGAATTAGTTTTGGTAGTAAGCTATCATGCAGATAGGTTTGTTATGTCTGGACATACTAGTCCTTTCAAATCAATAAAAAAACAGTCTATGAAAAATCTGATTTGAAAAGCATATATAATTTATATATATATATCAGATTTGCCTTCAGACTGAACGAGCCATCCTCTCTCCAACTCTTGGCAAGAATACGAATAAGGGTTATGTTACAAATGTTTAAATATCCTTTCATGAGTTGCTTGCATTGACATTTTATTATCTCATCACCTTGGCAGAGCATCCATCATGCTTTTGTCCACAGTGTGAAGGTGGTTTGACCAAACTTTGATATACTCCAGTGAGTTATCTGGAGGCAGCAGGTTAGCGGGGAAAACATCGAGGTCTACTCTGAGGGTCAGTAGTTTCAGACTTTTCAGAGGGGAGAATATTGCGCTCAGGTTGGTCTTTTTCATAGCCACTCCGACTATGAACAAGTTTTGCAAATTGATCAGAGGAACAAAGGCGTCAGGGTGGAATTCTAAAATTCTGCTTTGTCCAATCTTGAATGCGCGAAGTCTGCTTTGACCTTTGAAGAAATTTGGTCCAATGACACCAATGCATTCACGTCCGGGCCCCTGGTACCGCATGTCCAGAAACTACAAATTTGACATGGAAGTTAGACAGATAAAGAGATCATCAGATTGAACAATAAACACTCTTAATATATTACTCTTGAAGAAAATGTCATACCTCAAGGGAAGTAAGGTTGATGAAAGGGGCTTCATTGAGCTTAAAATGGAGGCGGTTGTTGTACAAAACCATTTTCCTCAAATTGGTCAGGCCAGACAGAATATTTGTTGACAGCATCTTTATGCGGTTCCCATTTAAGCTCAAATATCTAAAGTACAGATGGATGTGTTACATGAGTGGACAGTGAGGAAAGTTAAGAGAAGTTGAACACAAAAGCAAACTCCTTACCTGAGGTTGATAAGGTCTTCAAAGGTATGGTTTTTGATGAAAAGAATGATGTTCGAGCTGAGGTTGAGCTTTATTAGACTCCGCAACTTACTGAAGGGGTTATTCATGATGTATTTCAGCATGTTGAACTGCAGGTAGAGCTCCTCAAGATTATTAAGTTTGCTGAATACATTCTTTCTCAACCAACTGATTTCATTTTTAATGAGAGACAGGCGAGTCAGCTTCTTCAGAGGGACAAACCAGTCGGGGTGAATGTCACGAACTCTGCAGCTGTCCATGCCTAAATTTGTAAGGTGGGTCAGTCCTATGAATGTATCTCGCTGAATGTCGGGTGCATTTCTATTTAGCTCCAGTGTTTTCAGTCCTGGGTAACCATCAAATGTAGTACGAGATATCTGCTTCAAACCACAGTTGTTTAGGTAAAGTGTGCTCGTATTACCCCTGCCCAACTGGGTAACATGTTCGAGGTTTGCATGATTAATTATCACCATACTTGGAGTGTTACAGTCCATAAGGCTGGAGTTCGTCTCTGGTAACCTGGATCTCTTCAAGTCGACCTGCATTCATTTAAATGTACACAATGTTTTTTTTAAAGACATTAAACAAATATATAGATTTTGCATTATAATTAAGCGCACAAACCTCAACTCTATCAAGCTGTTCCATTCCTTTCAGCAGCCCGCATATGGTCAATGGAGATTCCTCCAAAGACAGAGAAAATGAGACCCAAGAGAGATTCCTTTTTGTCTCTGCCGAGAGTCCCATCAGCACTTTGGCTTTTACTCCCTCACAAAGCAGATTTTTCAGCCTGGGGTTGGAGGCAAAAACGTCAGAGTGTAGCTCCAGCTTTGGGTTGAAAGACAGAGAGATGTGCTGCAGGGCAGGAAAACAGCTCAGATTTATCATCCGGATGCTGTTTGAGAAAAGATCAAGACGCTGAAGAGTAGAAGATCCACCAGAGTCTCCACAGCTGAGACTCTGGAGAATGTTATTGGACAGATCGACATGTTGAATCGCTGGTAGGGAGTTAAAGATATCCGGAGAGATTGTGCCAAGTTTGTTTCGATTCAGAAGCAGGGTTTGTAGCATACTTAGCGCATCAAAGCTACTAGAGTTGATGTGTGAGATGTTGTTTCCGGTAAGGTTGAGTAAATTCAGGACACCCAGGCCTCTGAATTCTCCTCCTTTCAGATCGGCCAGCTTGTTCTTGCTCATGTCCAGGTATTTAAGCCCAGACAGATGACTCCATGACCCATGTGGGATGACATTGATCTTGTTCATGGACAGGTTTAGTTGTGTTGTGTTATCTGGGATCTTGCTCAGGACGTCAGTGAGGTTAGCTATGTTCTGGTTGCTGCACCTCATGTTGCCAGTCCCGGGGTAGGACATGAAGCAGCTTTTAAAGCCAAAACCACAGCAGCCCGAGGTGTTGAGCAGCAGAAGGAAGAGGGCAGTTCGCACCATCTTTCCCTGAAGGCTCTGTTTGCTGATTGCAACAAGGATGTGAAATAAAAAAATATTAGTTCATAAATGCGTCATGGGTTAAACAAACCATAATCTCATAATTTCCTAATCTTTGCTTGTTGGGGACAACGAGATGCGCTCTCTTAAATACGAGTGGATTTAATCAATTAATGTTCTTTACATTTTGAGAAATCATAATTTTTTTTAACGTAGGCTAAGTTTTTTGCTGCAGCAGCCAAGTAATTGGCAAATATTATGAAAATCGATAAATGTATAAATACATGTTGCATGAAACATGTGAAAAAATGCTGATTTTAGCCCCTCAAGTTTGGAGATTTCCCGATTGTAGTGACTTTCTTAATTTTAGTAGGGTAAGGGCTTTGGACTGATAAAACAAGACATTTAAAGACAAATACTTGACATAGAGAAACTGGAATGGCAGAAAATTGTTCATGGAAATAATTAATATTTGTAGCCCGAACTATAGGCATTTTGCATTTTACATTTTACCTTGACATTATTTTTTCATAAAAAAGGTTTACCCCCCCTAACCTTCATTTCTGTATGGGGGAGAAAACCCACTAATATTCATATGACACTTTAAAGTTACATCTAAAATACCTTTTTACTTCTATTACTTTTTTGTTCTTCTTACTTAGAGTACAGGGTTACTTCTTCTTACTTTCTTAATATGTAAATAAACTTTGATTTCCTTCAAAATGTAATAATATACAGGATGTTGCAGCCTAAACAATTACAAAATATAAACTTACCCTTGTCGTTCTTCTTATGCTGCTTTACTTTACCTAACTGCACTTCCTATTTTAACTGGCTTCAGTTCTCTTTGCATGTCTAAATAAACCCTAATCCTTTTGAGGAAGGATGTTATTGTTTAGAGCTGTGTGTATACCACAGTCTATGGTGTATACCCAACATTTTCACACGTCTAGGTTGTGAAATGGCGAGTCATGGTAGATATTATTTAAAGATATACTGATTATTCTGTCTTAGTTTCATACTAAGAAAATGCTTTAAATCATGTTTTCCACAAGAGGGAGCTATCTACCTGGATCCTGCATCTAGTGAAGGCACATCAAACATGGTGCGTCAATACTTTAAATGTATAAAATATCCAAATTGGCATTTAGCAAAAACCCATAAACCACTCAGAGACACTGTGCCAGCATTTAGATTGTAATTGTTTTGGGGAGATTTACCTTTTAAGAGACCCAAAGTGATACTAAACTGTTCTTTTGTGTCACCTTTACCCACAACTACTGTAACACTTCAGATAAGTAGGCAAATGGGAAAAAAACAGTATTGTTCAAGCCAATTAACTTTATTATTTGGTGAGAATAAAGATAATTGTTTTGTTAATTTTTTAACAAATCGAATTGCCCGTGGGCGTTTTGTCGTCCTTCTATGTGATGCTTGAATAATACATATATGCATGACGTAAATTACTTTTTGGTACTATTTGTTAGGAAAATGGCTTCGTTTTGATAGAATATAGCCAGTAAAATTACAAACAGATTTACGACTTAATTCAAGACATTCAACCAATATAAAAACTCAATAGATAACTGTTGGATGAGACAGGCATGTTGACCTCTTCATGCTGAACATCCACCGTGGGCTCCTCTGGTCCTGGCGGCTGACCTTTGCGTCTGTGCAGTGGGTGTGAGGGCGGGGAAGGGGCCAGTGGACCTGAGTCAGCCCTGGGGGCGACAGGTAGTCCGCCGTTTAGTCCGCGTGGAGCTTGGCCCCGGGGCCCTGACCTTTGCAACGGGGCTCCTTGATCCACGAGCAGAGGCACAGGTGACCCCACTGATGGAGATGTAGCTAGAGGAGCTGCTTCACCTTTAGCACACAGGCTGAGCTGCCAGTATGAGTCCGTTTGTCTCTTATTTAGACTTTAAACGATAGTAATGACAGCCTTATAGTCAAATAAATAATGTTAAAATAGCCTATACATTGTTTTTCCTTTATACAATGTACTCCATTCCCATTTTTCCTTTATTTGTTCATAAGAAATAATGAAACCCTTTGTTTTTTTAACTTATTTTATTCAAAGAAATACAGTGTGTATAATACAATTTAGTGTCATGAAGTGAAATAATGCAGTCCAACATGACATCATCCATATAAAAAACATTGACCCTTTTTAACATTTTACTCACATTTATTATATTACAATATTTACACATCCATTCAAAGAATTGTCTCTCAGTGTGATTTTAATGGACTTAACAGTTCATGGAAGTTACTGTTAAGTGCTTAACAAAATATTTGTTAGGATAATCTTATTGTAACAATCAATGTAGTGCATTTTGTAAGACTTCTTTTCAAAATTCATTCCCGGTTTGTCTTGTAAGGTGCAACATGTTTGAGGTCTTTTTGACGTTAAACTGAGGATGAGTGGCAGTCCTCCTCAAAGCCAGTGAAATGTGAAGGCATGCCAGTAATAATGGGCATTTAAACATCTGTATTTGAGTCACTTATAATACAGTCAGATGACCAAAAGTTCAATTGTCAGTAGCCGTCAAAGGGCTCGGAGGATGGGCTTCTAGTCGCTGTATAGACAGGGGCCTCTTTTGGGTTTTGCCGGAGGAAGGGATATCGGTGAACACCACTGATCGTCCGTCGGGGCAAAGCAATACGCTGGAGTCCGCCTCACACTTGGTGGTTCTGCTCGGCCACAAAGCCTCAGCAGAACTGGGCCTCATGCCGAGACCACCAGGAGAGAGAACCTCTGTGTTCACCGCTGACGCCTGACTCATCTTGATCAGCATGTCCAACGACTGCTTACGACTCTCCAGCGACGCCTTCATCGCCTTCCTCTCATTCTCTTCTTCCTCCTTTTTCTCCTCAAGCTCCTCATCCTCCTCTTCTGTCTCTGTGGCGTTGTCTTTACCGTCCTCTCTTGTGCTGCGATCTCCAACCACATCCGTCTGGTCCCTCTTCACCGACAGGTCGAGGGGTCCGTCGCTCTGGCGAGAAGACCTCTCCAGAGCCGTGTGGATGTGGGAAAGCTCGCTGCGTATTTTTCCCAAGTGTTCCCAGAGGTGACGCTGCGCGGGAAGGTCCTCTTTCTCCAGGTGGGAGATCTTGCGCTCAGCTTCCTGGTACTCCTGCAAGGCCTTGGAGAGGTCACTGAGGAGCGCAGCCACGGACTCTGAAGCCCCCTCCCCTATTGTTCTGGCAGCATTCGGGTCCTGTCTATTGGGACCCCCACAGGTAGACTGAGAGGTTGTTTCACTGCTGGGACTGGTGAGATGTTCGCTGTACCACAGATCAGTATGCCGTATCGGCAGCTGAGCATCCTGAAAACTGAGGATATGAAAGGTTTAGGACTTTTGCATTTGTAAATATGTAACATTTAAAACTACAAATCAACCAATTGCGTTATTCACTTTAGATAATGATGGATAAAAGTGACATTTGTGTTGCTACGTGATAAAATAAGGAAATTGTATTGACTTGAAATCCTTACCTTCCATGGAAGAGAAGTTTGTCTGCCGTCATGTTCAGATTTGATGCAGTCTGAATATTCTTCAGAAGGTCCAAAGCAAAACCACCCATGTTCGGCTTCTTCTCCAAAGGTGCCTCATGGTTCCCAATTGGGGCCCCTGTCCTTTTGAGGCACCAATTTGCTTTGCCCTCCTTGACTGTAGCCTGCAGTTTATCGGCCAACCTGTACCCGTGTTCGGGGGAGTCCCTCTGAGGCGACACCCAGCCAGCAGGGGAGACAGCGGCTGCCCCTGGCCGCAAAGCAGGCACTTTCCACAGATTTACTTTAGGCTGAAAACCAGACGAGGGACTCGCTTCTAGACTGTTTGTGGACGTCTTGAGCGCTTTGCTGGCGTCGCTTTGACCCGAGGCCGGTCCGAACGCGTGCTCGCACAGGAAGGGGTAGTAGAGGCGAGGGGGGATAAGAGCTCTGTCTGTGTGGGTGCTCGAGGCCGGGTGCATCAGCTGAGCGGCCGACGCCAGGAAGGGAAGCTGGGCGAGCTGAGCGTGGGTCTGGGCGGCGGTGGCGGCAGCGGGAATAGCTGAGTTCATGTAGGAGAAGAGGCTGGGGGTGATCGGGTAACCCATCCCGAGCAATGACAGGTTGAGTCCAGTGGGATCCTGGTAATCCATCAGGTTTGGCGGAGGAGGGTAACAGGGGATGGAACTACCCACTCGGGGCTGGGCACCTTCAGCTTTGGCCTTCGTGTGGCTGGACGCCAACAACCGCCACTGCTCCGACAGCAGACTGGGAGCAGTCAGATATGCCTTGGATAGCTTGTAGTGTTTCAGCTGGGCTTCTACTTCTACTGCGCGCGCTCTTAAAAGCTGATCTTCCAGGGAGAGCATGTCGGCCATCAGAAACTCAGACTCTGGCTGTTTGATTTTCTTGGTGGTGCACTCTGCAGCGTCTCCTCTCTCTTTCCTCAACCCAGTGACCTCTAATCGCTCTCCTCGTCCTCCTTCTTCCTCATCTTCTGCTCCCTGGCTTTCCCTGTCCTCACCTTCCTCCTCCAAGGACTTTCGTTCCTCAGTCCGTGTCATTTCTATGCCATTTTTCCCATGTGCCTGCTGAAGGGGTCGTAGCTGTTCTGGGTGCAGGATGTTGCCCTTTTTATAGGGCCAGTCGGACTCTATGAGCAGGGACAGAGAGTTCTTGCACAGGCTGTACTTCATGTGGTTGTACAGGTGGGACTTCTCCATGCAGGTGAACGGGCACTGGAAGCATTTGTAGTTGTATGGTTTGCCCCATGGCCGGGGAATGTAGTGAGGCTTCTTAGGCTTGCGTTCCTTGTGTTTGCTGATGGACGTCACTTTACAAGCGTCGTCCTTGGACATGATTGAGTCTTGATATTTTAAAGATTAAATTGTAATAAAATGGTGATGATTCAAGACAGATTTTAAGATTGTATGTCTTTCGTGCCAGGGTTCATTTAATTGTTTATCCTTCTGTTGGGTCGATGAAAAAGAGCATTTCTTGAACCTGCGAACACATAAGACAGTTTTGTATGAATAAAATGATATTTCAAAAACATCAGCAGCAAAATAACATGTTAATGTATTTGTTCTGAGAAAAAGGAACAGCTTGCAGGAATGCAGATTTGTAAGGAATATAAATATCCACAATAAAGTTATTTGTGCACTGAAGGGTGCTATATATCATTATGCACATATGTGTGTTAAGAGAGCACATTTGTTGTCTGCCTGCGCTGAGCGTTGCCACTAACCTAACTGCAGGGAGGCCTAGCTGCTCCGTTCTCACTGTACCTGCCACTACTCATTAGTTCCAGTGCAGCACCAGGCGCTAGCAGGGTACGGGGCTGGGGGGCAAAACAGGGGGGTCTCTGCACCTGTGCGTCGGGCCCTCAAAACACTAACAGGCGCGCTTGAGCTTAAGGCCCGACCCTCGGAGGCCGGCTACAGGCGCAGTGTGGCCAGGCTGAGGGGCTGCAGGTATGGAGGGGAGAGGAGTCGGGGGTTTGAGGCCTGGTTCCTAATGAGAGCCTGGCGTCGTGCCTAAAGGGCGTCATTAGTGCCAGGACGGGGATCTGGGTCAGGACACGGTGAAGTTCAACTGCTCTCCTGTACTCTGCATGTAGAGTTGGGTCATACTTTATTATACTCAATTAGCAATATTAAAATGTTTTATAAGAGAATACCATTTAATTATAGATTATAGATTGTAGACAACGTCAATTTTTAAAACATTAGTTATTGTGATGGTAACTATTTTAGAAGTTGTTGTGTCGTACAAGCAGCGATACATCTAATGCAGACATTCTCCCTTTATTCTTTTAATTCAATTATTTTATTTTGTCTTTCTTCCATCTTTGAAATGTAAAGCTAACAGCTTGTTCCTCTGAAATTCAGAGATTTAAACAAAGCGAGTTGTACCTTAAGATTGACTCATGTTAAGTGTTCGCTGGCTCTCTTTATTTTATATATTACTTTATTTAGGATCCTCTTAAAGGACATTAAAAGATTATATTTTTGACAATCTACAATATCAATAAAACTAAATGAAATACAGAAAGTCTCACATTCATAATCTCTCTTTTCACAACTTCTCTCCTTCTTCATCATCTATTGGCATTCTTTTAATTAATTTCTTACCCCCTAAAATACATTTTAATAAATGTGTTTCCATCTGTTAAATTACAGAAACGTTGTGATCTTTTTATACTTTAAGCCTGGCTGTTGGGAAAACCCTGCGGTGAAAAAAGATGTGAGGATGAGTGTGCTCCTCACTTTAAAACACTCTGCTCTGAGGCTCTTATTTTGTCTTTTTTTCCCCCAGGTCATTTCAAGATGAAAGTCTGTGTGACGTTCAGGGTCCAAACTGAAGTAAAGATAAACTCATGGCTCATGACAAAGTTTTGATATAAAGGGCAGTGAAGCAAACACAGGTGATGGATGCTCTGTGATATTGAGAGACAGCAGACAAGCTCATCTATAAAGCCGCAGCACGCAGGCTGATGATGGAAGACACAGTGAGACTAACTCAGGATGGCAGGCGGTTACAAACTGCTCTCCCAATTGGACCCTAAGAATTGGCCCGTTTTGTGGCTGACCATTTGATTGGCTCACTTGTCCGCCCCGGGGCTCTGACCTGAGCTTTGAGCTCATAATGGGGCCTAACAGCTGCTGCTACCATCCAATCAATAAAAATCATTTTTACAGTAGTTTTTGCCCCTCTCCTGGCCACTGCTATCCGCTCGCCTCTCCACTGAATGTGCACTTTGGCCCCCCGCCGCCCCATATCCAAACCCTGCGGTCTTGTTTTAAGCTTTTAGGGCTGATCAAACAAGCCTAACCGCTTCAACATCTATTGTTCCAATTAAAGAGGTTCACCACACTAAAAGCTTTGACATGCAACAGCAACCACACCACTGACCGCCTATGGGACGGGCTGTTTGTACAGTAAGTAAATGCATCACTCAAACTGGAATAGTTTTAAAAGCTTTTTATAAATGCATACTTTAAGTTATAGTCTTTACCTTGAAGGGTTGTCAGAGTGATGAGTTGGTTGTCTGGAAAAGAAGAAAGATTACAAAATTGTCATAAATCATCTGAATCTCGGTTTCTTTTTCAATATAATAACAACTGTTGTGATCAATTTAACAATTGCAATTAAACTTTTTTTTTTAAATCATATTTTTAAACACAATAAATTAAATAATTGTATTACTAGACACATATTATTAAGGGAAATGTATATTTGATAGAAAAACCTCACATGATGCTGCAGATAATGAATTTATACTTCAAAGGTTTTAATCATTCTTTTTCAACAGTAAATGCATTAAAATAACATTTTATAATCATTGTTTTATTATTTCAAAATGAAGTGGCAATGCATTGCATTATCTTAACTTAACATTTGCATACACGGAAATAAAAAAACGGAATACAATTTTTAAATAGCCACATTCAGTCTTAAAAATGAACCATCTAACTCCATTCACAATCAAAATGAATCTCGTATTAAAACCTCGCACTTAAAACTACAAAATAAAAGTCGTGCACTTTACAAACGTTTCTCAATGTGTGCAAAAACATCATGCACCAGGCCTAAGTAACTTTATAAAAGATAACTTAATCTTACTAAACTAACCTGCTTGCATGCCACAAGCTGTTTTAAAGTGATAAAGAAATGAATGTACCGTACCTGGAGAGCGTCCCGGTCTGTCTGCACTGAGAGGGCAGCGCGCGCTAACAGGCGCGCAGCAGCGAATCTGCTCATATATATTGACTGGGAGCATTGCCCGCAGGCACTACAATACAGCAGCTCCCCCCTCCCTCCTCTCCCCCCTGGATTGTCAAATGTGGTCTCTACCTTGCAGCCAGGATGCAACATAACAACTTAAACAATATTGGCAAAGGCAGTTTGGTGATGGCTCCTCGTTAAAACGGAGGGTGACGTGCCATTTGGCGTCTGGGTGAATTTCTCAATTTGTATTTATTTTTTAAGGTAGCTTCATGGGTGTTTTTAAACCAAATGCTTTTCACTGAAATATTAAACTATTACATGTTTAAATATGTTTTGTGGTTGTCTGATTGTCAGCTGTTACCAGATGTTTTAAGTCTGATTTAAACCATTTTGAACTTCATCTGAAAAAAATAACATTATACAGGGAAAATCATTTAAAAGAGGTAAAACCTTGAATATGACTTATTATGTTAAAATCTCAACAATCATGTACTGAAAAAAATAGACTTCTGAAAACAATATTTTTCGCTCTCATTCTCTTTTATATATTTATTGATTTTTTTATGTAACAATCCAAAACAAAATGCACACAATAGTGACACACACAATATAAGGGAGATGAAAACCAAAAACTATTTATTGTAACAATTTCTTGTTTTAATTGTTCAAAATAAAATACCTTATGACAGAAATTACATCAGATAAAGCTAATTTCCAGCAGGTATAACTAGAATAAAAACACATATTGTTTTGTTTTTTTCAAGGGCTGCAAAAAAATACGCATGTTCTAGGTTTACGTTGCATTTTCATATGGGAGAGCATCTATGGCTTCTTCTGCTCTGAAATATTTATTTAAGGACTTGAAATGACCCTATACACCACGGGTTTTTCTCTGAATGCATTATATTAATAGCAACTACACAGACCCGTTCATTTCTGTGCTCGTGTGTTTCTGTGATGTGTGTGTGCTCCTCACTGTCTCACACGGTCAGTATCAGTGTGTTTTTGGGGAGGCTGGGGGTGCTTTCCACTTCACTTCACCTGCATCACCAACAACATCAGGGGTGTAGTTGAAGGTGTGTGTGTGGGGGGGGGGGGGGGTTATTAGTGCAGTGGTACAGGGCACTGGATGGGTTACTGACATGAGCTGTAAGATCACAACCACAGGCGATGACTGACATGTGTGTCTTCTGACAGTTTAAACTCTTTCTTTTGAACTATTATTATGATTTTTTACACAACAACAGTGTGGGGAAGATGACATTCCCATCTAAAAAAGTCAAATACAATAATAAAATAAAATGACAGTAATAACACTCATTACATAAAAAAAAAAGACAAAGAAACAATCAATAGGATTGCTTCGACACTTCAGATAACTAGGTTGAAATACATCCAACAACCAAAAACACAAACATAACATGTCAAGTGTATGTATTTTTCCATATAATCCCACCCTTCGTTAGAGTTTGTTTTCCGTTTCATATTGTGTTGTGCCACCTTTTGATTTTTTGTGGCAATCATTCTCAACTCTTTCTTTACCTGCCCTTCTTATTCACCCCCCTGTCTCACTCCTCATTTGTCTTCTTTTCTAAATCAACTCCAACCTCTCAATCTCCACTTCCTCTCCCTGCCTCTTTATCCATCTGCTCTCTTAGCCTGTGGCGGGCTTTGGGTCAACTCCAGGTTCTTAATTTCTCTCCTCTGGCTGGGTGGGATGAGCGCATGCGAGCCCCCTTTGAGAAATGTCAGTGTCCGTGTGCTGGGAAAGTCGGGGGCCCTTCACGAGCCATCAGACCCGCTGTCACACCGAGGCGGCTAAATGGAGACTGACAGGCCGCTCCATAGAGCCTAACCATCTGTACCAAATGTGACAGCAGGGGAAAGAGGATGTCTGGTAAATCAGGAGGAACGACGGGACTGCACTATGACATGGAGGAGGGAGTAGAGAAGCAACATCCTCCACTTCTTAAAGCGCGGGCACATGAGAGGTGATGTCAGTTGTTTCTCAAAGAGAGTCAGAGACTGGTTGTTTCCAACTATCCAGAGACACTTGGGAGGCAGTGTCAGTGTCTCCTGTTACGTGTGTGTTAAGTGAGGACTGACTCCTTCAGTGCTGCCACTTCCT